TGGCTGTAAAATCTAAAACGGTTACAACGATTAATTATTCCGAGTTTAAATTAATTAATAGTTTCTATTTTATATCCGATTTGCATTTTTTAAAGGTAAAACACAGGTATAATAAAGTTGCCAAGTGTAAACAACTGATGGGATTGAAAGTGATTTGCAAAAAAGAATTTAGGTCATTTCTTAAATAAACTAAATGATTCACTCGAGTTCAATGTCACCGTCATTAAATTTCATAGACTTATGTAATTTAATGACGAAGTATTTAAAAAAAACCATTTAGCTCGATTTATGTCGTTATTGTTACACAAGATCACGCCTAAAAATATTATTTTCCCGAGAAGCAAAACAAAAAATAGTCACGAATTTCTAAAAATACAGATCCGTAAAATTCTTTTAGTAAAATAATTATGTAATGATATTTAGCTTAAAATTATTAAAATTCGAAGGCTAAAAACCGTTAATTCCCATTTAAGAAATGCATTTTAAGAGAAGATTTTGCTTTAATAAAATTCAATTTTTTTTTTCTAAAGAGCGCTTTTGAATTAAAAAGATGCTCGAGTTTTTAGAAAAATATTCTAACATTTCTGTAAAACATTAGAATAGTTTCGTGGGATTTTTGCCTTTTTATAGATGTATTAGAAATAAAATTCGGTTAAAATATAAAAAATTTAGAAAATTCGGAAACAGAAAATATTGTAAATTTTTAGAATCGCGTTTTAACGTTGCTTTATTGGAATTTCATTTACATTCGTCGGAAACTGATGCTATACAGGAAGTGACGCGATATCGACAGGAAATCCTTGTTATGATCTACAAATGTCAATTAATTTGTAAACTTTAATTAACCCTTAATTAATGTCAAAAAATTCATTAAAATCCGCGTTATATCTCGCGTGTAACGAGCGGATGAAGTACTGGTTACGCTCATTTTTTGTATGGATGTTTTTGGATCTTTTATAATCGATACGCGAAAATTGACATTTTAATTAACGAAGTAAGGTTATAAAATATTATTATTTTGAATTTTTATCGTTGTTGGAGTCGAATATACCCGACCTTCGATTCGATATTAATGAGAACAATTTTACATTTGAAGATACGTGATTCTAGATGGAAAATTCTAAAAATAGGAAAATGCAATTAAATTCTGTATTCGGAAAGATGACGAATATCTATTTTCCATTTTAAAGACGGAAATGACATTTTTTTAAATGACGTTTCGTTGTAATCGGAGGTAACCGAAAAATTTATAAACGATTACTCGAGTTAGACCCGATTTCGTTTAATAAATCTTTATAAATAAAAAAATAATTGATTTATAAAGATTGTAGAATAATAGGTTTTATTTTTTTATAGTTAAATGCTTCGCGAAATGAATCTTTGCTTTCTAATTCCTTCCTGCAACGTGTATTATCCCGTGAATGTTCCAGTAATATAACGCTTTCTTGTCAACTTAGTAATTTATATCGGGGATTTTGGATATAACTAACGCGTTGCAAACTAAATTTAATCTTGAATTTCTTAATTTGAATCGTTAATTAAAAGATTATTTATCTATTCGCTGAAGGCACTCTCGTATGTCCTTAACATAAACTATTGAAACGCGGTTCTCAATTTATCACCGTAATTTTAACGCGATAATTATTCCATAAAAAAGTCGTCCGATAATAAATGCGTGAAGAAAATAGTGCCCTATAAAACAATTTTGGGGCAAGATGACGAGGGGCATAAATCACGTATATTTTTCTCGTATATTTATGCAATGACATAATGAATAGGGCAAATTATACTCTAATTTTTAAGAATAATTTTTTATTATTAATATTAATTTACCATTAAATTAGCTTCCTTTGGCTTCCTTCTTTCTCTCATTAACCTCATTTGACTGGATTTTTTTCTCTCTTTTATATTAATTATATATCGAGATTATTAAAGTAATTATACAGTAGACAGATAGAAAAAGTTTTAATTGTTTTTATGAATTATTAATATAATTATATTTTAATTTAGAGATCATTTATCACAAATTTACAGAAATTTTATAATGAGTAAAGACTGACTCAGACAAAAATAAATTGAAAAATCTAATGATAATTTACGATAAATCTTATTGTTTTAGGATTTAAGATAAAATAATAAATTATTTAAACAATTAATAGTAATTTGAACCGATGAAGTCTTTAAAATTTATGAAATTAAAACGTATGCAGAGTTTCTCAACCAGTGGTTCTCTGCTCCCTATTAGTGTTTTAGATGTTTTAATCTAGAATATTAATTTAATTCATAAATGAATTAAATTTAAAGTTTTATAAGAATTTTAATGAAATAGTCCTAAATTTCTAAAAAATAATATTTATGTTTACTCAGCATTTTTATGACACAATCACGAGCCGTAACTGGGAAAAATCGCATGATATAATATCTAAACTTTGTGTCTATTATACATTTTTTTTCCCTGACGAGAGTGAAACTAAAGAAATTTTAGGGATTTTCCCTTAATTTTGAAGAGAAAAGAATCCAGGATAACACGTTTTATGTAAAAAAAGAAAATTAAAATTTTATTTTTTAATTGGATCATTAAGTATTACAATCTGTAATATTAACATATTTTATTAACTTTTAAATAAAAATTGTGTGCATAATTCTATTATAACTAGCAGACCCCGCCACGCCTTGTTGTGGCTCAAAATGTATCTATTATAAATGTATAACACTTTCTCCCTGGGAGAAAATTTTTCGAAAAATGTCTTCTTAGTGTACATTCTCTTGACGTACCCTATTAAAACGCAATCAAAAACGCAAAAACCCGCATATAAAATATTATAATAGAAGCCAAGTTTTTCACAGTAAGCCTTAATCCTGTCCCTCTCCCCCAATGGGGTAATTTCGACATGTATTCGACAGCCTATGTCCACCCTAAAGTTCCATTCTAAATATTGGTGAAAGAATTTTTGAAATCGGATGAGTAGTTTCGGAGATTACCCGCTGCATACAAACTAACATACATACATACATACAAACGTTACCTCTTTATTATATTAGTATAGATAATTTTCTTTAATTCTTGTTTTAAATCCTACGCTCTCTTTAAACGGTCGTTTTTCTTCAGAAAAAAAAGTCTAAAAATAATTGAAATAACTCGAATTTTATCGTATTTTAAAAGCATTTAAAGTATTACTTTTCCGATCATTAGGTAGCTCGCGACTCCGTAAAGTATGCTTCTCCGCATAGCTATTCGGTGTGGGAAGAAGTCGCTATTAAGGGGGATACGCTTGGCATTATCTTTCCTAAATTCGTCTTAAGTGGCCTATTTAAATATTTTGAAATTTCGTACTCGACACGTAACGGAGACTGAATTTTCACAATACTGTGGAAAAACAGTTTGCTTATACATTTTATTTTGCTCATTAAATCGAAATTCTTAAAGTTTGAGTTCGATTACAAATGCTTGTTCCGATTTGCTTTTCTTTTCTTCCTTAATTACCTTAAAATGTTTTAATTTTTCTCATTTTATTTAAGTTTTAAGGTAAAACTCCCGATTAATTTTTATCGCGCGATACTGCATTTGTTAGTTTTAACCTTATTATTCCGTCACAAAATGGTGACAAATTCACAATTTACGTTAAAGTTTATATTAATTATTGTTTTGATAAATTTTTGTGCTTATTTTTGAATAATTAACTGTTTACTTAGCATCCACGTCATTAAAATTTACATCTTAAACCCGAATTGTGACCAATTAACTGGTTACAACTCGTCTTATTTTTCTCGTCAATTTTATCCACGATTAGAAACTACGTACTATCGAGGACAAACTTAAAGTAAAAGTGGTTAAAGATCACCTTAAATTACTGATTATTAGAGGCTATTTTAAGGTACCTGTTGTTAGAAATCGCCTGGAGGTACTTACTGAATTCGGCATGGGAGAAACCAAACTACTGACCGTCGCAGTCCTTGTATCCCTAATGTTAGAAAGACAGTTTTAGGCAATAATTAGGACTTTTCAGAAATATTTTCATTTTTATACCTTAAAAAGTTTGAAAATCTTAATTTGTTGTACATTTTTATTGATTTTCTAGAAGAGATGCTCTTCGTCTTTACTTTTGTTTAGTGTATAATAATAAAATATCATCGCAAACAGAATTTATATTTAAAAAAAACAATTTAGATACTGAACTTAAAATTCCTCTATTTTTTGTAATTTTTGAATAAAATTTAATTTTAATAAAAACAAGATTACGATCGTCATTAATACTTATCGATAAAGCAACTTAGATTTAATATTTTTTTAAATTTTACCTTAAAATTAATAAATCACAAGGTGAAAATATTTTTGATAATATCGAAAATAATTCTAAATAAATACTTTTTAAAATTCTGCCTTCGCTTAGATGAAGATAGAATCGGGTTTTATATATTAAATTTAAAGATAAATAATACATTAAAAATAAATTTCATTTTATTTAAATAACTTTAAATGAATTTTTATAAATGATGACAATAAAGGAAGGATACATTTCGTCGAGTTTCCTATTAATAACATTTAATTTAATTTTTAAACATTTTATAAAATATGCTTCCATTCGTTTAATCCATAGATTTCTTAACGTAAACTATGCGATAATGGAAATTAATTAATCAGACAGTGTATTATTAAAATGAATTAAAATTAAGCATTTGAAGCATAATTACGATAATTACGCATTGTTTTTGTATTTTCTAAAAATTTTAATCATTTTCCTTCCTATTCTCATTAGTGACTTCAAAAGTAATTAATTGCACTTTCTGTGGATTCTGTGAAAAATTTAAAATCCCATTATTAAATTACTTTTATTTTTATATATTTTTCCCTATTGAAACATTACTAGTGATGACTACTGCTTCTCTTATTATGCAATTTCGTAAACCCCGCCTTTTTTAACAGGATATATCATCCCTGTTAACTGTATATATATAAGTGTGTGTGTGTTTATACACGTCTTTATCTATAATAATGTTACTGTATTAGCTGCAATATCTCGTTTAAGCGAAGTTTAAGGTACACGTCCCGTTAAAAATGAAAATCGAAGAAAGTAACACGAAAGTGGAGGAACGTCGGTGTCCATTTTCTGGCGTGAAGATAAGGAATTACTTATCTGGTAGAGAAAACAAAGATAAACTTTACGAACGATCGAAAGTAATAATATTTATAAATTTTATATAATTATTTTCGAATTTATATTAATACAATTGTAATTTTTTAGGATATAGCGTGCCAAAAAAATTGCTGTTACGGTTCGTTTATGTCCGGCCTTTCTGGTATACGTTCTCCTACCGAGAAGAGGAGTAAGCGGGAGGTTCTCGAAGATGCTAAAGAATTTTTTCAACAGTATTTTGAATCGAAAAAAATGTAAGATTTTTACGAAATTTTTAATGAATTTTTTAGATTTTTTAATTCATTTCGACTTTGAATTGTTACAAAAGTGATAACGAAGCTCGCGAATTAAGAATTATGAATGTTAAAAACGCCATCGAGAGTACTGGAACTTATGAGTTGAGCGAAGAGGAATTGCTGTTTGGTGCTAAAATGGCTTGGAGGAATGCTTCGCGTTGTATTGGAAGGATTCAATGGAATAAATTAATTTTGCAAGATGCTAGACACGTTAGATCTACTAAGGAGATGTTCGAGAAACTATGCGAACATCTAGCGCTTGGAACTAATGGTGGCAACATCAGGTAAGCGGAGAAATTTTCTGATAGACTAAATTATCGGTTGTAAAATCTGATTTTGAACGTTATATAGGTCAGTTATAACAGTATTTCCACAACGTCAATTGGGTAGAGACGATTACCGATTGTGGAATCCACAACTTTTAAGTTTTGCTGGATACCTTCAGCCAGATGGAAGCGTTATAGGAGATCCGGGACGTGTCAAATTCACTCGAGTAATTGAACTTTATTGTAAAAGTAATGTTTTTTTTATATCTTTTTAAAGAAAAATATAAATGTTTAAATTGTTTTTCAGATCTGTCAGAGGTTAGGATGGAAGGGACGGGGAGGGAAGTATGATATTTTACCATGGGTGTTATCGTCACCCGACGAAGGACCACAGGTTTATGATATTCCAGAAGAATTAGTATTGAGAATTCATCTAGAGCATCCGAATTATCCATGGTTTAAAGATTTGGGTTATCAATGGTACGCTGTTCCAGCAGTTGCTAACATGATGTTAGATTGTGGTGGACTTATGTTCACAGCTGCTCCATTCAACGGATGGTACATGGGTACAGAAATTGGTGCAAGAGATTTATGCGATCCTCAGCGATATAATATTACAGAGGTTAGTTTTTTAATTAAATATTTCCAGTTAAATTTTAAATAATTTTATGAGATTTTGTACAGGAAGTTGGATCTAGACTCGGCATTGACACGTCAAACACCAGCACCCTTTGGAAAGATCGTGTATTGTTGGAAGTAAATTTAGCTGTTCTCTACAGTTTTCAGGTATTACGATTGAACTTAAAAATGGCTAAATTTGAACCTATTTTTTTAAATTAAACGTTTTATTCTATATACAGAAAAATAATGTAACTATTGTTGATCATCATACCGCTTCAGAAACTTTTATCAAACATTTCGAATCTGAACAAAAGCAGAGGGGTGGTTGTCCAGCAGATTGGGTTTGGATAGTTCCACCCATGAGTGGTAGTATTACTTCAGTTTTTCATCAAGAAATGTTATGTTACAGTCTTAAACCCAGTTACGAGTATCAAGTAAGATAATAATTGTAAAATTTTAGCACATATCACTTAATGTATCAGGGACGATATTTGAAATTGCCAAAAATTTTTAGGAAGATGCTTGGCTTCATTATCAGTGGCCTAAGAATAACAACGTTGCACCGAAGTATAAATTCGCATCAATATCAAAGTAAGATGGCAAAAATTTTGTAATTAAATTCGAATTTAAGAAAAAACTAAGCAATAAATTTTATTTCAGAGTTATATTTTTCGCCGTTATAATGAATAAAATCACTAAATCCAACAGAGAAGCCATTACAATTTTGTACGCAACCGAAACAGGAAAGTCTGAAACGTATGCGATGAGGCTGGAACAGATATTATCTAATACATTTTTAGTTAGAGTACGTTATAATTTAATTATTGTTTTAATTTAAAATATAGAAACATTAATACTTAATTATTTTTTAGAACTTTTGCATGCAAGATTATGACTTGGAGCAAATTGTTAACGAGTCCATTCTGATCGTTATTAGCAGTACTTTTGGAAACGGAGAACCTCCAGATAATGGAAAAGTATGTCTAATATTAACACTGATAATTAGCACGTTAAAATTACAAATTTCTATAATTTTTGTTTAACGCAGGAATTTTGGAAAAAAATTAATCGATGCGAAGATCTTCGCTCCAGAGCAAATAATCAATTAAAGTAACAACGATCTTCTCTAGTTAAGTAACTTCAGTGTTTTTCGATGCTTACAGTTTGTGTATTTTTAGGTTTTCAGTATTTGCTTTAGGATCGACTCAATATCCAACATTTTGTGCTTTTGGCAAGAATATAGATTCGCTTCTGAGCAAAATGGGTCAAAGAATACTTCCCGTTGAATTAGGGGATGAACTTCGTGGACAAGAACAGACATTCAACAAATGGACAGAGATTTTATACAAGGTTTGAGGTTTATTTGAAAAATCAATAAATTTAGCTTTTTTGAATGTGTCTCATTTAAAAATGATATTCTTTTAGGCAATAATTAATTTATTAGGCTTGAAATTTGATGAAAGTCAATACTTCTCCGTAGAAGATTTCGCTGTATGGAAACCGGAAAATTATAAATTAAATGTAGTTTCTAGTCAACCAAACACAAATATCTGTCAAGGTTAATATATTTAATCACAAAATTTATTAAAATTGACTATTTTTAAATGAAAAATATTTATCTTCGCAGAACTTTCGCGCTTACACTCGAAACGTGTCCTTCCATATAAATTATTATCTTGTGCGAAATTGCAAGCGAGACATTCCAGGTAATTTTGTAATTTTTTAAAAGAATTTTGTTATTTTCTTTAAAACAAATCTAATTTATGTCATTTTGCATAGTCGACAGACAGTTTTAGTTCGTTTCTTACCATCTTCAAACGATTATCTCGACTATTTTCCTGGTGATCATATCGGTGTCTTCGCATCGAATTCGCCGAAACTCGTCAACGATATCATTAACAAAATCAACACTACGAGAATAAATCCTGATGCCATCTTAGATATTCAATGTTTTTCTGGTATATTAAACTCGTTTTAGTACAAAATGAATGTTAAATATAATTTAAAAGTCTCTAAAATGTTTTAACAGGTGGTAAATGGTCGAAAGCGTCACGACTTCCTCCTTGCTCCCTAAGAACAGCCATGACAAAATTTTTAGACTTGACTACACCTCCTACCGCTAATTTATTATTGTTAATGTCAAGTTTAGCTACAGAAAAATGGGATGTTTATAGATTAAAGAAACTTGCTACGGTATAAATTTCGTAATTTTTACATCCTCGCAAGCATTTCGGAATCATCAAATTCAAGTTTACCAATTTTTATAGGATATAGACGAGTACGAAGAATGGAAATCTGCCCAATATCCTAACTTAGCCGATTTTCTCGAAGAATTTAATTCAGTTAAATTAACTCCCGAGTTTATTTTAACTCAATTACCGTTGCTTCAACCTCGATACTATAGCGTTAGTAGTTCTACGTTGTCTCATCCTTACGAAATTTTGTTAACTGTTGCCGTTCTAAATTTCAGATCTCACGGTAAATTTCTAAAGTTTTCCTTCAATTTTTCATAATTTTTTGCGTAAAAATGTATAAAATTATATACATTTTTAGATGGAAAGGGCAAGTTGCACCACGGACTGTGTTCCAATTATCTGAACAGTTATCCGAAAGACGATATACCAATTTTTGTTCGAAGGTAGTTTTCCGATGTTATCTATTGAGTATAAACTTGTATAATTATATTTTAAATGTATTCTTACGCGTATTTTAGTGCTCCCGGCTTTCATCTACCCGCGGATGTATCGTTACCAATTATCATGATAGGAGCAGGAAGTGGAATAGCACCATTTAAAAGCTTTTGGATGCACAAGGAAATGGAGATGAAACAAATGAAAATCGGTAAATTATTTCTATTTTTTGGATGTAGACAACGTAACTTGGATCTGGTATACGAACACGAAACGTCACCACTCGTTAGGAAAGGCGTTCTAAGCCACGTCTTTAACGTATTCTCGAGAGAACCAAACCAGAAAAAGGTAATCCTAAACACTTATTCATTTACTTAATTACATATTTATGTTGTGTTTGTGTATTTATTTTTGCATCTTTTAATAGAAATACGTTCAAGATGCAGTTAAAGACGAAGCTAAACTGGTATACGAAATGATACAGCAGAATGGTCACATATATGTTTGTGGCGATGCTGCAATGAGCGAAGGTGTCAGAAAAGCTGTGAAATACGTACTCGTTTATCAAGGAAATTACTCAAAAGAAGAAGCCGAGAACTATTTTATTCAATTACAGGTACGTAATGATAAAAACTCACTTTATATAGGATACAGGTATTTAATTATTGATTTATACAATGATTTGTGTATTGAAACTAATGCTATTTTTTACAGAACGATGGACGTTATCACGAAGACGTGTTTGGAGTAAGTTACAGAGGATCTTCAAGTTTGTGAAGAGACCTCTCCAAAAACCCATACCTCATACGAAACTCAATTATACCCTATATTTAACCTAATTACTTTTTACAGCTTAAGTATTTTATTAATGTTCGCTTATCTACTTATAAAAATGTATATAATATTAAAAATAAATATATTTAAAATTGCCATTAGTTACGCCTATCTATTAATTAATTCACTAACGAACAATTTTTAAGAATATCAAAATATTGATACTGTTTTTAGACTCTTTCGTGTGAACGCTAGGACGGTCCTGGTAACGTCCTTTAGTGTCCATAAACGTTTGTTTCGCATTTATATGAGGCTAAATCTTTAGGGATAAATAAAACATGTTTTGAACTTCCGTCATGATGTAAAATACTTAAAATGTATGACGTTAAAGATGGAAAAGTGAAAACATGATTAATGCCATATTGGATATAAAAAATGTGACTCAAATTATCTAAACCGGATTTTAAGAAATAAAAAAGAAAATTAAGGAAATGATTATTGTTTTATGAAGCCTCTCTTGTACGAGTAACTCTATTTCGTATATATTAATTTCCAGGTGCCTCAAATGTATGGCCCGCCAAATGATCTGTGATAGACCCTGATAGGAAATACACGTAATCATCATTTATTTAATATTTATAACATATAAATGAATGATACGGAATCATCCCGGAACTTTAACTCATATCTATTATTAACGAATATAAGTGAATTAATACTTACACTTTCTAAAGACTAATTATTTACAACAGTCTCATTTAAATTATGATGATCGTAAGACAGTCTTTACAGAGTATAATAAGTTATTAAGGTACATTAATCAAGATAACTTCCTACATCGTTAATTAGTTACAGTAGTTCCTTGACATGTAAACGGATACATAAACTGTATAAAGATGTTATACAGGGGGATGCAAAAATAGGTATACAGTTGTTATTATGGGAAAAACATACAGGGAGAAAAAGGAAGTAAAAACATTTATTTTTATGTACAAATTAAATAACAAGCAAGGAACACAAACTAATAAAAGATAATTAAAAAAATAATGAACACCAAACATTTATATTTCTCAGATTCTCAACTGTATACCTACTTTTGCACCCCCCCCTGTATATTACTAGAATATATAAGGCTGTGTTATAATTACAAATCGAAATGTTTTATAAAGATTTACAACACACACGAATATCACGAAGGGTTCAGTATTATATATAGATATATTTACCCTATCAAGGCATCGGGTCTCATTGACTCATTTTTTTTTTTTTTTTTTTTTTTTGTGAATGACTGTAAATGATTGTAGTATTATAGCAAAGGAACAAGGACCTCTTCTTATATGAATACGTAAGATGATACGGTGGCGTATGAAAGCATGCAGATATCGTATACTATCCTGAGACAGATTTGTCCACATATGTCGCAACTGTCACTTCAGATTTCTCACACTTGTATTAATAGATGACGTCTAGTCTCAGAAATGCTCATCGATAAAGTCAAGGAAGTGTATTAACGTGACAAAGACATTCCTGCGAAACCCTAGCTGTATGCGGCCGAACGTTATCTTGTTAGGAAATAGTCTCTCGCAGTCCCGTCACGAAAGGAAACACGTGGGAATGCAGGATTTCCCTGGTACGAAGTGACCAACTAGTACACGAGATAGATCTCCAGACCAGCGCGTCAGCAATTCAACAGTCAGGCTGGGTTGTGAGGCGTTCATCAATCATCCGCCAAACTCTAATACCGAGGGCGTAGCTAGACCAATTATAGTAGGGATGGCTCTAATTGTGGAATGGCCTTATCAGCAGGGGCGGATCTACGTATGGACTAATAGGGCAAAAATTGAATTATTATTATAATTTTTTTATTCTTTTTCGTTAACAATGAGCACTTATCGTATAGTAAAAAAATAGTTAATATTAATAATATAACAATAATGATAATTTATAGTATTATTTGTATTAACAAAAAATGGGGTCCATTGGACTTCAATAAGCCCTAGGCCCCGAAAAACCTAGATCCGTCCCCGCTTATCAGAATAAGAAAAGCGGTCCGGGTGCACGTCTCCTGAAAAAATTTTAAATTTAACGCTATTAAACAACGTACAGTACGTAGGCTACAAACAGTACAAAAGTATTCAAAATTTAAATAATAAAAATCCTTGTTAATCATCCGCAGAGGCTTCCACCCGTTTCCGGATGGTAGACAAAGAGCGTGCGCTGACGTATTCACTGCTTTCCATATCTTCTGACTGTCGGGTCAGAACGGGTCAGACGATTGGAAATTCAGCGAAACTTTTCTTTGTTTCCCTCAGCCGCACGATGCGACTTTTCTGAAATTCCGCCAGCCGCGCTTAACGTCTTTGGCTGAGTCGCACGGACATGCCTGGCGTTCGAAGACCTCCAAACAGTAGATACGATACCCTGAAAATTCTGAACACATTTAACTCTTCTGACCTTTTATAAGATACTGGGAAAGAGATTTCGAGGCGCTACGCTGGTATTAACTAGCGTACAATAGGAATCATTAGCATACTCGTCTGATACTTAGCTCTATGTCGAATTTTGTAGTAATCGAGCAATTCCGAGTAAGTTCATTAGTCAATGAATATACATTTAATTATATGAAAATTTAACATATTTCGTAGCTATATTCGTTCTCATAATTTCGTAATGAAGTTATAGTAACGTTAGTGATGTCATCGGTTATATTGTAAGGAAATTGACGTTACGGAAATGATAAATAATTCATTTGATATTCCGGAGATTAAAATTACTCAATACATACAATATACGATGATAATTTTTGTATATTATTTTCCTGTCCTAACAATAGATACCGCGTTATGCAATGTTTATTATTGACTAATTCTGCCGAGCGATTTGTTTGCTCCTTCCCGTTCGACTAGTTAGAGTAGAGCAATTGGTTCGGATTACTCGCCTACTGTAATTGGTTAATACAGTACTCTGCTTAGAGTGACGACGTCATTAATCTTCTCGTAGAGCAGACAGCCGAATTCGCCATACGCGACACAAATCATAATCAATAATTTTAAATTTGATTATATTTTTAGATTGGATTCGATTTATTACGTAATATGTCATTCATTCAGAATGTAGCACAAACTCGAGTCTATTCATTTCGGATAAGCAATGAGAACGACCGAGCGAAAGAGGGAAGATGCTGCGATTTCAAGTAATCGTAGAGATTCATCGGGTTAGAACTCGGGTGGAAAAATATCGGGTCTCGTCACCATTCGGCCGCCCCATCGTTGGCCAGTTGGTCTCGGAGGCTGGCTAAATAGCGGCCTTTATAATGCCTAAAAAGAGGAAAGTGTTAAAAATCGTTCCCGCTAATAAAGTACAGGCTAATACGACGCGAAGACAATATACAGTATACGCTATAATTAAAATGTTGGTTTTACTGTTTTAGGGTAACTGTATTTAATCGCCTTCTTTCCTAGACAATTCAGAATTTTTAGAGAATATAAATCATCGTTTCTCTCCGAAGACACAACTCTAGTATTACATTGTCGATCGAGGCACGATTATTAGAGACAGAGCGTATTGTTTAGAATAAATCATTTTCTTTCATACGTTTATATGATTTACGAAGCTATCCAAAATCGATTTAAATTGATGAGAAATACAATAATGCAAGAAAAAGAGAAAATTAGAGGAAGATGGAAAGACAACATCGATAAAAACAATAAGTACATTTCGTTTTTCCTCTATAAATTGCCACTCGATCGTTCTCAATATTTTTCGTCAACAGATAGCGCAACTCGAACGATTCTAAAATTCGGGTACCGTACCGCGCTCGAAAACTTTGCACGAAATATTCTCCATTTCTTCTCTTCAAAAGGTTTTATCGAATATTTTATCGTTTGGAACCATTTGATTACAGTCGACCCCCCCTATAATTACGGTCCCAATAATTACGATTCCTATAAAACTGCAAAAAAAATTGTGACGGTATCCGTAAAAAAACAGTAAAAAACCCCCTATAATTACGTTAAACGTCATTGGGCAGCCGGACTACTTTCCCAAGGTCTATATAAGAAGGTCAGGACACGCTCCCGTGATTCTATGCGGCAGCGGCCATTTTGGGACTCATCGATAGAGCTTCAACATACGTGGTTCCTGCGTGAGTCGACTATTATTACTTATATACGTACTCAAAACGTTAAGCAATGGGTTATTGTGTTGCACCTAATTGTAAAAGTAAGTCTACCGACGTTCGATTGTTCAGATTTCCTGCAGATAAGCAGAGGAGAGCGAAATGGGTGCAGAACTGCAGACGGGATAAGTGGCAGCCAACTGATCATTCTAAACTGTGTGAGGTTAGTGTATATCATGTATTTTTCTATAGTTACTGTCTTGAAATGTATACGTGAGCTCACATTAAATTATTTGTTGTTCAGCTTCATTTCGAAGAATCGCAGTTTGAACTGAAAAGAGCTGACGGAAGGAAGCTGCTGAAATGGAATGCGGTTCCCACAATTTTTAATGTGAAAAAGTGAAAAAGTTGAAAAATGTTTTTTCATTTGTCTCCATAAATAATTTCATTGTTTGAATTTTGAGTATTTGTTTGTGATGTGACTTGGTGAAATTGCTTTTTATACAAGAATAAAGAATCATTTTATGTAAACAGAGAAAGAAGTTATGTCTCAGATAAGTTCTGTTAAAAATAGCATTAAATTATGTTTAATATTATCCTTTTGATTAAATTTTATGTAATTAGGAAAATATGACGTTTAAGCCTTTGTAAAGCCAAAAATGTTCATTAATTAAACGTTAGTTCAGTATTTATTTTTTAAATGCATTAAATTGGTAAATGCTTTAAAATAAAATTTTGGATAACTTCATTGTATGTTCTTTATTATACTTTAAATTTCCTTTGATGTTATTGCATCACTTTACGAAGTGTCTATATACGTAATTGCAACAGTTTTAGCACCTATTTAATTAGTTTCAATCACGACAGAAAATGATATAGATGATTGTTTCTTTTAAACTATTTGATCGAAAAGTTACATAAAATTGGGGTTGCGTAATCATCCGAAATCATTATTATATTTTCGACTGAAAATCGCTGGATTTATGCAATTTTAGTTTAATTAATGTCGTATAAAACTGACTGTTCGTACGAGTT